TCTATCTACCTACCTACCTACCTACCCACCCACCCACCCACCCACCTACCTACCTACCTACCTACCTACCTCCTTTTGACAGAAACACTTGCTACATGAATGGTTATAGTTTTGTAAGTTTGTATTTGCACCTTTCTCACCACCCACATATATGTGCTTCCATTTATGTTTCTAGATGATGTATGCAGTATCTATATCCACTTGATATTAATAGTATATTATATATAGAGTATACTTGCCTGTATTTAACTACTTTTTGCTTATTTATAAATAAGGGTTTTGTATTCATACTTCTAAGTATGTTGCATGGATACATGTGGATAAACACTGATTTGGGTTTTATGCCCCTGTCTTTGTATATTGTATTTTCATGAATGTTTAGTTGGCACTAAGCAACAATTGTATTTTATTTATTTAAAGATTTGTATGGCTGCCCAACTTGCAAAAATGTGACTTGGGGCAGCGTACAACCATAAAACAAATCACAATGTCCAACAGAAAACCCCCAACAACAAATCACACAATTGGGGCATAACCTCATATACTTGAACTGCCAGGATGAATCCACCTAACATCCTGGCCTCAACACCTGAGGGAACATCCAAGTCTTCAAAGCCTTCCTGAGGGCTAACAGGGTCAGGGCCAGTCAAATCTCTTGTTCTCATTGTGAGAATGAATAGACTATGGCTATATATTGTTGCATATGCTGCGTGTTAATATTTAGGAATCTGGATGTATTTGCAGTCCTTTGGCTATGTTTTAAAAATAATGGGTAGAGAGTGTGCTTTTAAAAAATATTTAGGTATAGGCACACCATTTAAGGCTTTACTGTTAAAAATGCTTATTAGAGGATATATTCCACTGAAGACTGAGTAACCTTACAGAGGCTTGCAGTGTGAAAGAAAGAATGTTAGTTTAGATTCTTTAAATGTGAAGGACAGAGGCAACCTTTCAGGCAATACTTCCCTCTTCTCCCAAATCCTCTCCACTCCAAACCAGACTGACAGCCAGATCACCTGCCTGGTTACCTGTCAGGTATCTGTCTCTTGGCTCTGGAAATGCAGCACTGTATTTTATGACAACACACAAACAGGGAGCTGGAAGGAAAGCTCCCCATCTGGGCCAGTGTGCCGTCTGTATTGAAATGAGAGGCTGAGGTGGAAGCACGCTAAGCCAAGCATCCTTATCTAATTGCTTTAAGAGGGCAAGGGGTGCATTGGCTCTCCTTACTCAGATGACAAGAAGATGGGCAGGAGTTGAGCATAAAGAGATGCTGGGACCGGATTCTTCAGGGCATCAAGATGTGGAGTTCATTCTGAGCAAGGCAGAGCCCCACCAAGCTGGGGCTGCCTGCCCTTCGCAAATGTTGACGTCTCATCATCCTCTCCCTCCTAATCCGGCCCCAAGCAGAAAAAGGCAAATTTGACAGTTTAAAGCCAGATCTTTTACTGAATCGATCAGAGTTGGAAGAGAAATCCTCCTCCCTCTCTCAACAATTGATCTTATCAAACTAGTAGGGCAGGAAATCTTTAATGGGTGTAAATTATCTATCTATCTATCTATCTATCTATCTATCTATCTATCTATCTATCTATCTATCTATCTATCTATCTATCTATCTATCCATCCACAGCATTTGGGTGGGATTCTGCATGTTTGTGTTTTTCAAAATGACCAGCTGGGATGGGGCAGCAATCAACCTAGCAGTACACATGACCTGGTCTCCAAGGCTGAAGCGGGTGGAGAAATGGATCTGAGAAATGCCAAAGATTAGCATCGTGACCCTTTAGAAAAGCTTTCCGTGGTCCGCTGCAAACCAAGAACCAGGCTTGGTATTGCAGTGCTCAGTTCCCCTCCTCTCTCTTAGCGAAAGCCTGATTTGAAGAGCTTTCATAGACTGTCTGCGCTTGGCTGGGTTCCATCCTTGGCTGCTTCCACCGGATCCCCTATGGGACAGCGCAGCTTGAAGCCAACCAAGGATTTGTGCTTTGTGCTGGACTCTTCTTGCTTCTTGTCCCCCTGGGACTTCTTGTCTGGGAAGAGACAGGCAGGAATTGGAGCAGAGGAGCTAAGCCTCAACACTAGGTGATAGTGGGAGGGATGGTGGGCTGGAGAGGTGAGAACACAGGAAGACTCCAGATCACTATAGATGCTGTTCTTGTTTCTTATAATCCCCTAGTCCTTTTCTTATGGATACTGTTTTCTTTGGGTTTCTGATTAAATTTTTCTTCCCTCAACAGCAGTCCTGATGAAAACCACATAGGCTAAAAGAACAAAGAGTTTTGTGTCACTTTAAAAATGAAGATTTTGTGGTGTGGGCTTTTGACACAATAGACTTCATTTTGTCAGTTATGTTAAGCAGTTAACTAAATGGCTAGGTCAGGAGGAAATTGTGCCTTGTTTAAAAAAAAGGGGCATGATTTTACAGCCGAAGTAAATCCTGGAGAGAAGTCCATTTAAGAGTTCCCAGAATGTCTAATAGTGCTACTACCCCATATAAATTACAGTACTGAAGTACCTTCTGGGTTAAGCCCAGCAGGTAGCAAGCACCCAGTGGATCTTGGCTTATGTTGAAAACAGCTAAGCAGGGGCAGATCTGGTTACTACTTGGAAGGGGAAACACCAAGATATCCCAGGGCCATAAGCTAGAAAGTAAAAATGAATGAATGAATGAATGAATGAATGAATGAATGAATGAATGAATGTAAAAAATAGGGCAGATTGCTTCCATACTGCTGCCAAAAAACTGCATGAACCTATTATCCATGGAGTCACCAGTTACTGTTTCTGACTCAAGGAAGACTTGACTTTTTGCCTTCTGAGTGCTTTCTATATGTAGCAGGGGTTGTATTCTGTCTAAACATTGCTGGACTACAACTCACAGTATCTCTAGCTAGTGTGACTAATGTGAAGGATGATGGGAACTGTAGTCCTACAACATCAGGAAGACAGCAGGTTTCCCATCTCTCATGTGGGCAATTGGTCTGATGTTCCAATAGCTACTACCTGATGTTCTCTTAAGTTGTTTTTAGTTCTAAATGACAGCTGGCTTGTGAGGATGAGCTTCAGTCCTTTCTATGATGCAGCAAGACAGTATGTGGAACTACGATGTCTTTTTTTGTTACAAAAATTCTATACTGTAGTACTAAATGGTTAAGGATGGGCAGCTTGACTGGAGTTGCAGTTAATAGCTAGAACAACAACCAATTGTTATGAGAAATAAATCTCACTTTGTTCTATGGGGTTTACTCGCTAACAAATGTCTATAAAATTCCAGCCTTTCAAAGGTAGCATTGATAGTTTCATGCTGAATTGTGGGCATGGTTTATGGGCAACCGCTGGGTGATGATTTTTTTCTTTAAACATATGAGTTTGATCATCCTTGAATGTGTTGTTTCTTATATACCAGAAGCTTGTATACTGAGAACTTTACAACAAAAAGAATAGCACTGATCTTGGCATTCCCTTACACAGCCCTAGTCTTTCAAATTGCATTCAAATTTTGTCCTTGATTCTTTGCATTAACAGAAGGCAGAATTCAGGGTTATCACACAATGTTTGGCAATATCACAATATTAAAAGGGTGAAATCAGATAGTTATCCAAGGGGTCAGCTGTGGCCCCCTATATCTCCCAAGAATTCTTTTGCCCAGCAGCAACCATTCTGAACTAGAAGGTTATAAGAGACCACCTTGGGGAACTGAAGGTATCCCCTGGTTGCAGTTAGGTGCCTGTGTTCTAATATATTGCCTTCTGCAATACCTGAACCAACATGTATAAGTTATGAATGTTGTTGACTTGGATATTACATTTATTGCATGGAACTGGAGAAAAAACATTCCCTTTCTCCCTGCCCCCTCCCACAAAAATAAAATCTATGAAATCCTTAAAAATGAATTAAAATTACATAGATGATAGTTTTATTAAGAAATATTCACTGTGATATCTCGTTAGCAATCCTAAGCACCTTTTTGGATGGAAATGCAGATACAGTACAAACCCAGTGAAAAGTCAGTTTCTGAAGCAAACCTAATTCCCATTCTGAGAGGTGGTATGTCTCCAAACCAGGAATGGCCCAAGAGGCTCTGCAGCTCCCAACTCCTGGATCTGACTCAGAGGCCAGTAGTTTCCAGTTGCTGTTCTAGAAAGTGAACATCCATTGGCTATCCTTGGGATTAAATTATTATAACCATTCCATATTATTATAAAAGCTGCCTCTGGTTTCAGAGTCAGGTAGGATGGTGGTGATTGTACTGCTTCATGTCATTCCAGCTGTTCTTTCATGTCTCATTTTAATCTTTGGCCTATTCTTTCCTTACAGACACAATGGACAGAATTCAGATGGCCTGCTTTGTTCTCCTCTCCTTAAACTTCACATCCCTAATGAGGAAGTTTTCAATGCATGAAAAGGCCAGGCCTGGATATGTCCTGGAGCTCTCAAATCCAGATGTCCTATAAACAGATGATGACCGCTACCATCTGAGTCAATCACAGGAGGAGTACCTGCTAATCAGTGATGCTGATTCAGAGCCACGCTGCATCAACATCTCTTAAGAGGACACAACGGCAACAAGAGGCAGCACTTTTTCATTAAAATTCATCAGCCTGTTAATATTTAACACTCTTCCCTAATCTGTCTTGACTCTATTCCCACAAAGGAGCCTGTCAACTATCTTTCTCCACCATCCTCTAACCTGCTAGTTTTTGGTTAACTTCTGTATCTGGGAATAGGATACGTAATTCTTTTTTTTCCCCTCAGTCTAATCAGTTAAACTCTGTTCCTTTCCCAGATGAAAGGCTAAACTCCAGAAGTCCTGGGTCTTCAGTGGTTTGCCTTAAACACTTCTCCGTTTTTTAGTGACCTCATTGTCTCTCTGCATTCTCATCACTTTTCTAACAGAGATATGACACTGATGATTCTTGCCAGCAAAGTGGAATTGGGATTTTGAAGGATGTTCACAAGTAGTCTAGTTTTGGTTCCTAGTCCTGTTGCTCAAAGTGTACATGTTGAGAGGAGGACTTCCAGAGGAAGAGGTTTTCTCACCTGTCACTGTTAGGCCACTGAGTATAACTGTCTGGTCACGTGGTGGAACAAACAAATGTTGCAAAAAAAAAATCCTGGTCTTAAAAGGACAGGGTAGTATTTGGGTGAAAGCGGCGGACCCAGCACAGTGAAGGCCCTTGATTAAGAGTAATTACAGTATATCCTGTGCTAAACAAGAAAAAGACCTGGAGTTTGCTCCAAGCAGAGTTGGTCCTGCCATTAGGCAAAGTGATGTAGCTGCTTCAGGTAGCAAACACTGAGATGTTACATATGAACCAAGTTGGATGCCTCACAAGACCTTTCCTCTGCCCCCACAAACCATCAGAACAAAGGTTTATTTTATTGCTCTTTTTAATTTTTACCTATATAACCCACTTTTCTCTTAAAACTCAAGATGATGCACACGGTATACTCCACTTATTTCATCCTCATAACAAGCATCTTGTGAGATAGAGTGGGATGACAGTTATTGGACACGGTCACAGTGGGCTCAATGGTTGGGTGGGGACTTGAATCTAGGTCTCCCATGAATACCATAATCACTACACCGCCCTGTTGCTAATGCTGAAATAAGATTCACCTGCCACTCTAGTTGCCAGAGGGGAGGCAACTATTTGTCCACAGCACAAAATATCAAATGCTAGCCCTGGTTCCAAAAAAAGCTCAATTCCCCATTTTCCCAGTACATAAGAAGAAAGTGGGGGTTATTCAGAAAATAATTCAGATCAAGATGCAGTTGAACAAAACTGATTCTTCTTTTGGGATTGAGTTGTATCCAGAGAACCAGCTCAATATGTTGCTCAACCAGCAACAATTGCAGCCAATACCAAATCAAAATCTGCACCTTTGAGCAGGAGGAAGACCAATTTCTGTTTACTATATATCTGCTGCTCTTTGACAAACTAAAAACCAGTTTACAGTCTGATGCTTCAGAGCACATCAGTAATTCCTAACCTTTGGGGTAACAGTGTGGATAGCTGTTTTTTTTTTTAATGAAATATTGAAGTCTCCCAATACATTTCCAGGTTGATGCAAAATTCTCCCAATTTGCATAGGTTGAGAAGCAGGTGGCTGAGTCAACAACATAGAAGGAGATTGGGTTGATTAATTATGAATTAGGACAAATTGGCGGCCCGCTACTCAGTAATCTATGTAAATAAGGATGATAATACTGTGAGTGCCTGTGCAAACAGAAGCTTGCTAAGGAGCAATGGGCAAGCCCAGCTCCCTGCAGTGGTGGGTCGGGAAGGCTTTGTGGTGCTATTAATTTTTATGGGGTGACAGAATGAAATTTACATGGACAATGAGATGCCTATCTCAGGGGCTGCCTTGTTAAAACTGATGCTAGATGCATCCATTGGTCAAAGGAAGGAAATGAAGAATGAACAGCAGAAAGTAGAAGATAGATACATCAAATATTAGGAAGACTGTTCCCCCCACATCTGCCTATATGTCCACCCAAGTGTAAGCTCTACTCAGCTGCATCTTGCTTTTTAGAGTACTTATCTCTTTTTGTACATGCCCAGTGCTGTGGGAGGAAAAGTAAGGGTATCTTAATTCAAATATCCTATTTCAGTCATTTATTCTCTGTAACTTTATAAAAGTTGTAGCTAATAGGATCACAGTGAATGGTATTGTAGAAAAGGTAACTGGAGTGGCAGCTTTAAAAGTCCATTTATCTACAGATGAGGAACCTATCAGCAGCAGATGTTTTCTAAATGAGACCTGCATTTCATTAAAATGCATGCATGCACACAAAAACAAGATTTTTTCCCACCCCAGTCACAAAAAAGAAAGAAGGAGCCATCATAATGCATAAAAGAAAGTAAACAATGGAGATACTGTATGACCTAGGTGGTATGTATTTTGGTATAGGAAAATTCCCATAGTTACACAATTATGTTCCTACATTTGTAGAGAGCCAGCCTACTTTAAAAAGTCCTCATTATGCACACAAGACAATGTCCAGTAAGACCTAAGATAGCATCGTGGCTAAAGTGCTGCTCTGGAATTGGAAAGCCCCAAACTCATCTACCCATTCAACTGTGGAGTTCACTGGATGACTTGCGCCCTTCATTCCCTATTTAAGCCTAACCAGCTTGACCAGATTGCTGTTGTGAAGATAAAATGAGACAGCCCCTCCTTGTATACTGACGAGCTCAAAAACGAAATGAATAAGATAATAAACTCGCTAATCCACATGGATTTGCAAGAGTTGCTGTTATTTTTGTTGCAAGAGATTAAAGAGCTGTACCTCTGGAAACTTAAATTGTACTGGAATCACATGATGTCTCAAACATTTAAGTTGTCACCAACTCCCACCATATTCTTCCTTTGGGATTTGCATCTCTGGATGCTGTGAAAGAAGAAATCTTGCACAAAGAGTTTAGCCAGCCAAGCAGCTTTCATTATGATGTAGCTACTGCCACCTGGTGTCTTAATGCTGTTCTTAGGACAGCAGGAGTTTTATTGGATTGAACTGGAATAAAGCAAAATACAGGTTGCTTCAGTTGTGATGCTTTCCCTCTCCTGTCTTATTCCATTACAGCAGACGATTATCAGGCTCCAGAATAACAAGTGGTGTCCTGGATTTGAATGAACTGAATGCTCCACCAAGTAACCCACAGGATTTACATAAAACTAAAGTGGCTGGGGCTTAGCTCTGGAATGTTATCTCAGTTCTGGATGGAACTTATGGAGCTTTAGTAGGAAATAAGAGCACTTCTGGATCAAATTGAAGGTTCTGCTTCGACATCCGGTCTCTGCCTTTATAGCTAAGTAGCATTAGGTTGAGAGTAGCCTGACAGAGACTGCATATATCTCAGAGCAGCCTGGGTCAGATCTTGAGGGTTAAGAAAGGGAATAGGGAATCTTTTAGCCTGAAGGTCTTGTTTCTTCAATTTCTGAATGGGGTGAAGAAATGTGCCAATGGTGGCAAGGCTAGAGTTGGCAACACAGACATGCACATGCTACACATAATGCATACATGCACAGTCTTCTGAGCAGGGCAGCAGCTTCCAACGAAACAGTTTTGTTTACCTTTCTCATTGCTCCTTACCTCGGCTGAGTCCTGGTAAGCCAAACAGGAAGGATTTACAGGCTGGATCCAACCTGTGAGCCCATCCCTGCTATCTCAAAGAGCTTATTTGGGCACACACCAAATCTGGCCTACATCCAAGATCCCAAAGGTGCATGTAGCCATATGTCACTTCCTGCAACTGTTCTGCTTACAGGTTGGGTGCTTTAATTCTCCTGCTCATATCCTACCATTCCTTTGGTAAATGTGGCATCTGAATAATTTCTTAAGACTAGATGACTTGTCCAACCAAAGCCTGGAGTGAGTTCTGATCAGGGCTCCAGCCTTGCATGTACAAGTCTTGTGGCTTGCATAAACAAAACTGAACTGCTGTTAGAACTTGCTCCTGCTGTCTCTGACAGCAGTCAGGATTTTCTTCAGTTGTTGCTGAAGACTAAATACTGATCCCAAATAATGTAAATGTGGAACAAGAAATGAGAATGGTTGTCTAAAAAATGAAACCCAAATTTCAGAAATTATATAAAACTAAGCAAACTCATCTTTTCCATCTTTTTTTTTTCTAAAAAATAAAATTTGAATTTGTTCTATTTATTTGCAGGAAAAAGTTATTGTTTTCTAGCGTTGCAAGGTTCTGTCACTATTTTATTTCCTATACAGATTAACATTTAATTATTAATAGTAAATGGCATATTTATTTTTTGCTCAATGAAATCCTTAGTTTTATTCATGGGTGGTGGGAGTTGTTACACAAGTTAATCTTATTTCAGGGGGTCAAGTTACCTCAAAGTTTGAAAACATCTGATTTAGACAACCTCTGTGCCAAGAAGTTATATATGGGCAGGAATTAAGTAGCCATCCATGAGTTCTGCGGTTGTATCATCTGACACCCCCTGCCCCCCCCCCAGTTATTCTGTATTAGGGATTAGGATGAGGAAAAAAAGGTTGAAAAAAGTTATTTAAATACTTGTCCCTTACTCCCCATGTTAATTTCCACTGTTAAGTACTTTGCTTGTTTTCTTTTTTGTACTGTTCTTAATTAATGTATTCATCAATACACTGTAGATTTCACCATCCGTTGTAAATCTTTCAGCTAAAGATTTATTCATGTTATTAGGAGGTTTAAGGATCTAGCCTAAATTCTTTGTACTATCAATCTCTGGAGTTTTGTGGTCAAACAAGGCAACTCCGCAATGATGGGTTTAGGCAGATATTGTTGATCAACCCAATTAACTGTCATGAGGTGAGTGATCACATTTACGCCTCTGGGGACTTCCAGTTCACTTGAAACAATAGCCACTGTATCTATCAGTCAGCAAACAGAGGAGCCCACCTTGGCCAAAGAAAAATCTCCAAAACCATATTAGGGGAGTCCCCTTTATTAGGTTAACTCAAGTCTGCAGAACAGTATGTAAGTTTTTGAGTTCATAAGAACTCTTCATCAGGTAAACCAGAAAGGGGAACTTATGACCCAGGGGAGATATGTGATCCCCCATCTCTACTTTAGCTCGTAGAGCAACCTCAGATTGTACTGCCAAAATTAAGCCACAAAAATCACCTATTTTTACTGGTACAATGTTTCACTTGGGAGGATAATACACTTTGCTCTTTGAACCTCCCCAATCCTGCCAAAAAACACAAGGGTTGAACATTTTGTTTCCCCCACTAAGCTTTGCAGAAGCTAAATTTTCTTTTAGGGAAATAAATGAGCAGCCTCGAGCTGCAAAAAATTTGCTCACTATTGACATAAACCTAACAAAACAAGAAAAGAGAAAAAAAAGGATTACATTCAAGTCCCAAGTCTGCATTAGAGTCTAATGTCAGACTGAATATGACAGTGGGTTGCAGATTTTCAAGTAAGGCTCTATCAAATTCTGAGATAGTTTCAGGTTGAATCCAGGACACTTCCTGGGGCTGCTGGAATGAAAAGAAAATTAAAAAATAGTCCATCATTTCTGAAAATACGAACTCCAGCTATTCAACCAAGAAGAGGTTCTTCTTTGGAATAGCATCCTTAACTCTCTGCCACAAGAACTAAAGGATATACATTGGTACAGTTCAAATACTGTATATGTTGAAGGCTTTCTTTATTCAGCTTAGCTTTTAAAGGTTGGAAATGCTCCTATTGCTCAATTATAGCTAACAGCTATAATTACATTATTTTGTTTTTGTTATTATTGTATTTATACTATTTAATGTGTTTTTACATTTGTACACCAACTGGAGATGTATTGCATGACAGGCAATATATATTTTAATTACTATTTTTAATATATTTGTTAGATTAACATCACACCTTTCCTTCAAGATCCGCTTACATGGGATTCTTCATTTTATCCCCATAAGAGCAACCCTGTCAGAGAAGAGTGACTGGCCCAAAATCATTCAATCAGCATCCATGGCTGGGGGTCAGCTTGAATCTAGATTTCCCCTAGTCCCAGATTAATACCTTAACTGCTACATCACATTGAATAAATAAATAATAAACAAACATAATATATCTCCTTATTAATTTGATTGGTATAAATGCACTCTGAAAAGTGTGGGTAGATGATAATTTTGTCCAGGCTTCAGTGCTTAATTCTCTACCATGTTCTGGTGAAGATTCTCTGCACAGCCATCTCTCTGTTATTTGCAACACAGTGTGTGCCACACTGCCCTTTGACCACTCCTCCGCCTTTCCTGACATATGTCCTGTGTGTGCAATCCTCTGTGTACCTCCTCCCCCTAAAGGGAGACAAAGTCCAAGTTTGTTAGCCTTGTGAGATCAAAGGCCTTCTGAGGCATTAGAACTGATTGCATTTTGCTGATGTTCCCTCTGACAATGAGCCGAAAGGTACGTGATTATGATTCTGGAAAGTGGTTTACAGAGATCTGCCTTAGATCAAATCAAACGTTTGGATCCTCTAATTCAGAACCATTTATTCTTACTGAAGAACCTTCAGGGTTCCTGGCAGGAATCTTTCCTAGTCCTCCCTAAAGATGGAAGAGCTGGGAACTTTTGCTTGAAAAGCATATACTCTGCCATTGAGATATGATTGCTTGGCTGGATTCAATCTATGAAAGTTTTGGGAAACTATGGAATCAATGCTCTGATTAGAAAATGATTTATCTTATAAATGGTAAGCTGTAGGAAAGCACCAATGGATCCCTGTTACTTGCCAGGAAAATCTAACTGGCACTAGGACCTCCTACACAGTATCATAATGCAGACATCCGGATCCAGAAAAGGAAAGGGCAGGCAGTCACTACCAGGGAGGGTGTGATTTGACAGCAGCCAGGAACCATGACCTAATCTGACCTACTGTCCAGCCTTGTACTGCAGATACTGCTATATTTTACTGTTTCTCTCTCTCCTCAGAACTGCTATTTGGCTTGCAAAAGGGTGCACTACAGAAAACAGTATTGTCTGCGGTGAAGAGATGTCTGGTGGATGATATGGCCAAGCATCTTGTGGTGGCTGTTGCTCTCTGGGCTGTGGGGGGCCCTGCTGGCCTTCACCATCTCTATCTGGGCCGAGATAACCATGCCTTACTCTGGATGCTGACTTTGGGTGGATTTGGAATAGGGTGGCTTTGGGAGCTGTGGCTGCTACCTGGTTGGGTAGCACAGGCAAATGGTACCCCAAACTTGCCCAATGGTCAACACCCACCTTTGAACCCTGTGCGCTTTCTTGGCCAAGCTTTAGTAGGCATCTACTTTGGGATAGTGGCTTTCATTGGTCTCTCTACTCTGCCAGGTTTTTACTTTCTGGCTCTCCCTCTGGCTGTGGGCCTTGGAGTTCATTTGGTGTCTGAAGTGGGTGACCAAGCCTCCAATCTTCAAGCAATCTTAATGGCTACCTTCATAACTGCACCAATCTTCTATGGCCATCCTCTGGGGATCTTGCCCATTACTCTCACCGCTAGTGTGACAGCCCAGAAGTACCGACGATATAAAGCCAACAATAGCACCAAGAAGCAGCTTAGCCTCCGACTTTACCGACTAGGTCTGGCCTATCTGGCTTTCTCAGCTCCACTGGCATACTGTGCCTTCAGCAACACAGCAGCCACTGCCAACTACATAGCCAGCATAATTGGAGCAGCCCTGGATTATGTCAGCGTGTTTCCATCATTGAATGGAATATTGGAATCAGCGCTGCTTTTCCCCTACCATGCCTGGAAGATGTTGGGCTTCAGTGGTGGCTATTTCCAGGAATGGGAGAACATTTTTAAATTTGTACAGTCCTTCCAGAACGAAAGACGTCAGATGGCATATCAGGTACAGTGGACTTTATTATTTCTTAGCTCAGCACACTTTGTGGGAAGTGTACTTTAGGAAAGAGTAAGTAGAGCAATGTTTTTTTATTTTTTATTTATTTGGATTTCTCTCCCGCCCATCTCCCCTACAATAGGGGACTCTGGGCGGGTTACAAAGACA